AATATTGTTCGGCTATCCTGGGTCTCTTAAATTTCCATGCAAATTTTAGAATTAGCTTTTCAATTTCTGCAAAGAAGCCAGCTGCAATTTTGATTGGGATTGCACTAAAACTGTAGATCCGTTTGCCACCTAAACAATATTAAATCTCCATGAGATAAGGTAGCTTTTCTAGGACCCTTAAAAAATTCTAGAATTCTGTTAGCCCTAATTCTAGACTAATGAGGTCAACTATCTTTATATTTACATAACTAAGAGGGACTCACAAGAGACACAAAAGCCAGCTGCAATTTTGATTGGGATTGCACTAAAACTGTAGATCCGTTTGCCACCTAAACAATATTAAATCTCCATGAGATAAGGTAGCTTTTCTAGGACCCTTAAAAAATTCTAGAATTCTGTTAGCCCTAATTCTAGACTAATGAGGTCAACTATCTTTATATTTACATAACTAAGAGGGACTCACAAGAGACCCTGTAGAGGACACAGAGAACAATTTCTGTCAACTAAGTAAAAACACAACAAGCTACACTTGTCAATAAATTGAGAAAACAAGTGAAAGAAAACTATAAAACCATTTTATATGAAACAAAGAACTGTTTAAATATCACTACAAGGGAGAAATAAAGTCTTATACATTATTTCCTTACTTTTCCTGCTTTGTAGCACGACACTGTTGATGGAACTGCCTGCACAGATCTTTCCCAAAATACATATAATCCAATTTGGGAGTAAAGTCAATATTTGCATATATTTAATGTTGGTCAAAAACTACCTGATTCCAAAACTGATGCCTAATTTCCCTAGTAGTTAATAAGAAGTACCATTAAAAATACAAAGTAAACCACATTCCTTCTGGTTCAGTTCCCTAGAAGACTATTTTAATTCCTAAACCAATGCAGTCTGGGAAGGCTGGTTGCTCGGCTCATGGTGCTAATTATATTGTTGTGCTGTATTGAAGGTGTTTGAAGTAAATTAATTCAGAGTCGCTGCTAAGCGTGAGCTCATCAATAAATGAAGCACAACAAATAGATTTTTCTCCTGTGTTTTCAGCAGCTGTCTTTTCACCCTCCCTTCTCCCCCTCCCATGCTTGTTATCTCTAAGAAATCTAACCTACGTCCAGAGCCAGGATTTTCACTTTCTCTTTGTGCTCCTTGGTATGTCTCCCCCAAGCCCCCATCCCGGCACCAAGCATGGGGGTGACAGACACAGAAATCACTCAGTTGATAGACTAATCGACCATCACTGTGGCTGTCGCAATGTCCAGGCACTAAACCAGGCTCTTGACTCTTTCAAAGACCTTCTCTCTTAGAATCCTTTCACTCTTTAACATATACAGGGTGTCCCAAAAACACATAGACACACTTTAACAACTGATAGCTCAGTTGGTGTTTCTTTTCAGCCAGACTAAGCTTTGAACAACGGGAATTCATCCTAAAATGCTACTGGGAGTTTGAAAACCCAGGTGAAGTGCAAACATTGCCTGTATAATTACTTTAACAGCTGATAACTCAATTTTCACTTCTTTTTAGGTTTAACCGATTTGAAATAATGGGTGAAGCCAGACTAAGCTTTGAATAAAGAAAATGTATCCACTAGACTTTTTTATGAGGATACATAAAAGATAAAGTTTACGGTACAAAATGGCAACAGTTGGCGAATTGATGGCACACGAATACTGAATAAAATGATTCTTGATGTTTGCGATTCCATTGCTTCGAGTTATCAGCAGTGCCTGGACCAGAATGGTCATTAGTTTGGAAACAGGGCATTAACAAAAAATTATTCATTTCTGTAGATTCTTTTAAATTTTGAAAATGACCTGCATGCTATTAAATACTGACTTTATAATAATTCAAAGTGTGTGTACACTGGTGCAGCCACTGTGGAGAACAGTATGGAGTTTCCTCAAAAAACTAAAAATGGAACTCCCATTTGACCCAGTGATCCCACTTCTAGGAATATATCCCATGAAATTAGAAACACCAATCAGAAAGGATATATGCACCCCTATGTTCATAGCAGCACTATTCACCATAGCTAAGATCTGGAAACAGCCTAAGTGCCCATCAGTAGATGAATGGATTAGAAAACTGTGGTACATCTACATGATGGAA